GTGACAGGGGTTAGTATTTTGAGTTCAGTGGAAAGTGATAAAGTTTTACTGCTAGGACATAATGAAGTTCAATAGTTCACAGTTCAGTTTTTTTTTTTTTTAATAATCAACAAAGAGCTAAGGAAATGACACAAAGCTCATTCCTTAAAGTCAAGGCTKCAGTAGCTATATGGAAGAGTAATATTAAGGTCTTGTTAAATAGAMACTATGAAATAAATCAAAACCAAGGAGTGGGAAATGATAGGGAGGCAGCTTTTTTTAAGAGCAAATATATGGCAGTCCTTCCCTGCAGAGATGTACCCAGGGAGTAAGCTGCTTCCCCGTCCCTCCTCCTCTTTGCTGCTAAGGAGCTCAGTGGTGTATGTGGGCCTCCCCTTCGTTCCCATTCCTGACTTTGGATAATGTAACTAATGATTAAATGGCCAGTCACTTGATCTTATGCTGCTATAATTATTGCCAGAAAACCTTGATCTTATGCTGCTATTATTATTGCCAGAAAACCTTGAATCGGTTCAGAATGGCACCTGTTGGAGCTGATCCCTCCACCAAAGTGTACAGTGTGCTCTGTCTTTTCCTCTCCCAGCTCTGGGCTGATGCAGTTGCCTGGCAACCCATCTGCCATGATAGCTGATGTCAGCTCATTTCCACTTAAAGTTAGCCCAGGAAAGTCTTCAAGGAGGACATCTGGGCTTGTGAGATGCTGGAGAAGGTTCCAGTTTATATTATCAAATCATTTGTAAAACTGCAGACTAGTAGGCTCAGGGAGGCTGAGAAGAAATGTGGATGTCACAAGGAATTAGCTTCTGGAATCRTGTGACCTTGGGGACTTTATTTCTGATATCTGAGAACTGGGTAAATGAGCCTCTGCAATATTCTCTCTGCTGCTAAAGTTCTTTCTGCACTTTAAAGGGAACACGAAATATCCAAAATCACCCTGCCTCTTGAAGAATAGAATTTAGCCCAGTACTTTATATTGGTTCTTTGGAAAGTAGTGTTAACATTTTAACTAAATGCCTGAGCAGCTGTTGGGAGGAAAAGAGAATAATTTTATCATTGGCAGGAATATTCTAGGATATACAGGAACTGAAAAATAAACTTATTTAATCCAGCAGAGGGCAGAAGGGAGTTTAAACTGTTTCTCACCTAAGACTTCCTGAACAAAATTTTGACAGTCCAAGATAAAATTCAGTGTCACATCTGTAGACAATTACCTTCAGGTTGTTAATGTACAAGTCACTCTTGATTATATAGACAGATCCCAGGTGCTGTGCTCGGGATCAACTTCTTTTTGTCTAGGATGAAAGGACAGAAAGAATATTGAGTTATTTACACCTATCAGGAGACAATAATGTGGTACCCACAAAACAATAGCACTGTAATTGTTAAAGAATTTATTTACTAACCACAACACAGTGTTTCACAATTTTTTCATGTGTCTTTTTGACTTTCCAAATGCTAGAAGGAAAGAATATATGAAATAATTAAGTATAAATTATTTCATTATCAAATATATCTCTTTGAAAGTAACTGTACCTATATATGAGTCCATAAAATAAATAATAATAATAATAATAATAATAATAATAATAAATCCCACAGCCTATTCTGGGATCTGAGAAATGAACCTTATCCTACTATAGCTAGCCTTAAAACCTGAGGTGGTGATATTTCTCACATTGCAAAGATGAGGTGAATATTAAAACATGGTGACCATTGAGAAATTGATATTGGTCTTGATGTTTAAGATAACTGTCCAATCCTGATTGCTAAGTTTGGTTTTTAAAGTCTCTTTTAAAGGAAAATAAATTTTCCATGCTTCATTTGTAATGAAGGCTGTTTTAGCTTGGGTAGTTGTGATGTCTTGGGTTGGTTCCTCAGGAAGCAACCACAGGTGGAGTTAGCTTCTATACCTCTGAAAGGGAGGGGAGGAAGAAAGGATAGAAGTTGAGTTTCCCTGCAAATGCAGGCTAGGCCTCTGTTGAGCTCTTGGGGCTTGAATGGTCCTTCACAGTATCCCAAGCTGGGACGTTCCCACACTGACCAGCACTGTAGATGTGCTTCACCAGTCTCACCCAGCCGCAGGGAATGGCCGTGGTGAAAGCAGTTCTTTGCAGGCAGGACAATACTTAAGGGATTGCACTTCCAGCCTCTGGGACAAATCCTTCTTGAAAAGGGGTCAAGATGGTCTGTTATAACACAAGTAGTGTGAACAAACAGCATTAGCCAAAAAGTACATTGGATTTTCTTTCTGATGAATTGCTGACTCTATAATGTTGAATAACTTATTGATGGCTTTAAAAAGAAAGTAACAACTTGCCGTATTCCTATCTGAATGGAAGAACATGATACTAAATGTGGTTAATGTGGTCTGGAAAACAGGATTTTAAGGAATGAAGAAGAACACATTTCTATAAATGAGTGTTAAATTTTGAAATATGGTTGTCTTTGTCCATTCAAGCTATTCAAACACAGGACCATAGGGTGGCTTATAAAAAACAGGACTTTGGGGCTGGGGTTGTGGCTCAGAGACAGAATGCTTGCCTAGCATGTATGAGACACTGGATTTGATCCTTAGAACCACACAAATAAAAATAAAGGCATGCTGTCTGTCTGCAACTATAAAACAATTTTAAAAATAAAAATAAACAAATAAAAAACCACAAGACTTTGTTTCTCACAATTTGGGGGGCTGGGAAGTCCAAGATCATGGCACCAAATTTGGTTATCTGGTGAGGAGTTACTTTTGAGAGAGAGGGGGGGGATTTTTTAATATTTGTTTTTTAGTTTTTGGTGGACACAACATCTTTATTTTATTTTTATGTGGTGCTGAGGATGGAACCCAGCGCCCCGCGCATGCCAGGCGAGCATGCTACTGCTTGAGCCACATCCCCAGCTCACTTCTTGATTTATATCTTCTCACTGTGTCCATACATGATAGGAGGGGTAGGGAAGCCCCCTGTTGTCTCTTTTATAAGAACACTGAGCTCACTCACAAGGGCCCCACCCTCAAGACCTAACCTCTTAACAAAGGCCCAACATCCTGATAACCTTCACATTGGAAGTTAAGATTTCAACTTGCAAATTTGGTGGTGGTGGTGGGGGGGGGGCGGGACACATTCAGTCTATAAAACTAATGGTAACAAAACACATCTAGGTGGTTATCTTAGTCTGTTGTCTGTTGCTTTTAGCACCATAGCACAGGCTAAGTTATAAAGAAAAGAGGTTTGTTTCAGTTTGTAGTTGTGTAGGTTCAAGGTTGAGGGTTGCCCCTAGCTGGCAGAGTGCCCATGCAGTGCAGGGCAATGTATGGTGACAGGGATCTACCACAAATGTGCATCTCCTTGGGTTACTTTCTCTTATAAAGCCAGCAGTATCCAATCATGGGGCTTTGCCCTGWGCCTCCATCACCTCCTGAGGCCCCACCTCTGAATGCTGTAGTCAGATTAAGTTTCCAGCCTCTTCATACCTCAGAGTGGAGATGAAAATCCAGCATGTGTTTTGGAGCCACAAACGGTATTCAAACCATAGCACTGGCTTATTTATTTGCTTTGAGATTTGTCCTGTGAACAACCAACTGTCAATTTGCAGTAATTGGAGTGAATAATGGAATATTAGTTCATAGTTCTTGGATCTTTGGGGAGAAGCTTTTACATGAATCATAAAAGATGATGCTGCCAGTTTGTTAGACAATGAAATACCAGTAGTTACATGGTAAAAAGGAGTCAGGGAAGGTAAGTTGGTATGTTTTTTTGTGGAATAGTCATTTAAGTCTAGCCCTTGTTTAAGTACTTGTGTGAATTCAGTCTGTTGATTCTGTGCATTTGTTCCCATATCCCATGGGGTAACCCAAGTTGTGTGTTTACCCATGCAGACCCTGTGCCTGCTTATACCCATTGGAGACACCATTCACACCCTCAGAGGTCTCCGTCTCATTGAAGAATCACATTTGTTAATATCATCATCATCAATCCCATCAGAGATTTACGTAATTTGGAAAATGTCAAACTCCTGGTGAACAATGAGTTTTCTAAAATTTAATTTTCTCTTGAAAGCTTCAATTTTGTCATTGGCAATAAATATTGGCAGTTGTTTTTATTAGAGCCAGGCTTATTTTGTTCATTTTGCAAGAAAATGGATGCCAAATACGCAATTCAGAATAGTCCTCATGAATCATTCATTCTTCAGAGTAACAGTGGTGTTCCCTGAGCAGAGGGGCCAGGTTGGCCCACAACTSAGTTGTACCAGTGCTTCTGTGATCCAGGTGGAGCAGAGGAGCTTTGTGGATACGTCCACACCTTGACATTAGACTATTAGAATGGGACTCTTTCTGGTGGCTCAAAGATTGGGATTTAATAAAACCAGTCATGTTTCTTCACCATTAAGGGTTTTATTAAGTGAAGTTAAATATATATATATATATATATATATATATAAAGTGTGAACCTACTGCCTGCTGGTACATTTGATACTGCTGCCTTGAATGGGACTGAGGTGCCAGCAGCTTTGCTCTCCATGGCTTTTGTACCTTCAGTACAAGGGTCCACACACTTGCTTTAGCGAAAGACAAAAAGGGCCTTGCCTCCTATGATGGCAGCAGAGATGCAGAACAGGGAAGCAAGTGAGAAACATAGGGCACATAGGTAAAATTTGGTAGGAGAAGGGCAAAGAAGGGTTGAAGCTTACTGAAGTGTTCAGCCTGGTTGAGTGGATAGCAGTATATGACTGCGGCAGTATATGCCTGCAGGAAGAGGAGCCCTAGTCTGTGATTAAAAACGATATTGCTTTTCACTCTGAAAAAAAAAAAAAGATGTGTCATAATAATTCTACTTGGAAAAGGGTAGATTCTGGGACTGGGCAGAAGAACAAAGTGTTGTAAGTGGGTCTGAGCAGCAGCCTGAGATCTGGTTTTGTGTTGGTAATGAGTTTTGGTTCTTAGAAGGTCAAAGACTCCCTCATCTGAGTTTCCTATAATAGCATTTTTTTTTTCTTTTTGTTTCTAGGAATGGTGCAAAAGCTGGACCAAAAACTTCCAGTGGCTAACGAGTACCTGTTGCTCTCTGGAGGAGTCCGAGAAGGCGTGGTGGATCTGGACTTAGATGAGCTAAATGTCTATGCCCGAGGTACTGACTATGATATGGACTTTACCCTTCTGGTGCCAGCCCTTAAACTACATGACCGCAATCAGCCCGTGACTCTCGATATGCGTCACTCAGCCTTGTGCCACTCCTGGCTCAGCCTTCGTCTCTTTGATGAGGGGACAATCAGTAAATGGAAAGACTGCTGCACCATCGTAGACCACATCAATGGTGCCACCAACTACTTCTTCTCCCCTACCAAAGTGGCCGACTGGTTCTATGACTCCATCAGCATTGTCCTATCAGAGATCCAGAAGAAGCCCCAGCGAGGGATGCCAAAGGTAGAAAAAGTAGAAAAGAATGGGACCATCATCTCCATCATTCTGGGTGTGGGGAGCAGTCGCATGTTGTACGATATCGTCCCTGTGGTATCTTTCAAAGGTTGGCCTGCAGTGGCCCAGAGCTGGCTCATGGAAAATCACTTTTGGGATGGGAAGATAACGGAGGAGGAGGTCATCAGTGGGTTTTACTTGGTGCCTGCTTGCTCCTACAAGGGTAAAAAGGACAACGAGTGGCGGCTGTCCTTTGCCAGGAGCGAGGTGCAGTTGAAGAAGTGCATCTCTAGCAGTCTCATGCAGGCCTACCAGGCCTGCAAAGCCATCATCATCAAACTCCTGTCCCGGCCCAAGGCCATTAGCCCCTATCACCTGCGGAGCATGATGCTCTGGGCCTGCGACAGACTTCCTGCCAACTATCTGGCTCAAGAAGACTATGCCGCCCACTTTTTGCTGGGCCTCATTGATGACCTGCAACACTGTCTGGTCAACAAGATGTGTCCCAATTATTTCATCCCTCAGTGCAACATGCTGGAGCACCTGTCGGAGGAGACGGTCATGCTCCACGCCCGCAAGCTCTCCTCCGTGCGCTCAGATCCCGCGGAGCACTTGCGCACGGCCATCGAGCACGTCAAGGCAGCCAACCGCCTGACGCTGGACCTCCAGCGGCGCGGCAGCACCACCAGCATCCCCTCCCCGCAGTCGGACGGAGGGGACCCCAACCAGCCTGATGACCGTTTGGCAAAAAAACTGCAGCAGCTCGTGACTGAGAACCCGGGGAAGTCCATCTCTGTCTTTATTAACCCCGATGATGTCACAAGGCCCCACTTCAGAATTGATGATAAATTTTTCTGAGTGTTTTGCTGACTTTTTTTTTTGGAGGGGGGTCTCTCCTGGTTCTAAAACTCCCATAACCTTCAGTGTGGTTTGTGATTCTGTCTTTCCGTTTTTTACATATCCAGCTTAGATTGGATTTGTTAAGAACAGATTTTAAGTTTCCTGGTTCTGCAGGATGGTGCAGGCTCTGAAACAGTATATTACTATTTCATACTCTGCCTCTGATTTTGTCGTGTATGTTTTCACGTTATTGTCCTGTAGTTTTGTTTGTTGGTTTTGTTGCTGTTTGTTTTTTAAGGAGAACTTGAGCCATAGATGAATATGCCCATGAATCCTCTTGTTTTTTTTTTTTTTCTTTTCTTTTTTTCTGTTTTATACTTTGAGCAGAATTTATTAATAGGGCTTGGGAAACAAATCTCTGACATTTAAGAATTCTAATGTATTTTTTGTTTTCTTTCTGTCTTTATTTTTCTAATGAGTTTTCATCACTGTGGATATTTGAGAATCATAAGAACCTGGGAACTACCTGGCACGTTGACTGGATTTCTTTCTTTTGATCAGTGACCAGAGTGGTTTCCCCCTTTTCCACCAGACTATGTAAACTTTGAAAGTAATAATGCTACAAATTGTATTTGGGGCAACTTCACTGAAGGTAATTGTCCTGGATCCAGCAAACATTGGATGGTTTGGAAGAGTATGTTTGATAGCTTTGCAAACAAATTTAAGGTTTCCAAATGTTATGTTTAGCATGTATAATTATTTGAAGCCTTATTTAAGTCCTGTTAAAGAATATACCATTATAATTGTTATTTGCACTAATGAAATCTTTGCCATTGTCAGAGTTGCGATGTGTGTTTCAGTAGGAATTAACATCCACTCTTGAAATGCTATCAGTTGTTCATTTAGCCCATTTCTCTCAGTTGATAGAATGATTCTTTGTATTTGTTTAGTTCTCCTTTAATTGTGGGGTCCTGTTTTGCCCTCTTTGATATTCCTGGTTCCTAACTTACTGAGAGAAGTTTTTAAAGCTTTATACCTGTTCAATGACTCTATCTAAAGTTGGGGAAGATACATACTTGATAAAGTAGGTGTCTTTGTATTTATTTCTTTTGGGGTTCTAGAGGTGAGTTTTTGGTTATTATTATTTTTTTAAATGAAGTCTCTTTATTTCTCCTGAGCTTTTTGAGGAAAACTGGCAGGAAAATTTTATTATCCTCAAAGAGAAGATACCACGTCTGTTCAATAGCAGGTGTTATTGTAGAGCTGGAACCAGGAAAATCTGTGTGGCAGCATTGGAACAGAGGTGTCCTGTCTTCATGAGTGAAATTCCTTGCCAGTTGTAGGTGCTTCAAGACATTGGCTCCCTGCTTTGGTCTGGATTCATGGCAAACTGCTGTTCGAGGGTCAAGAGACCTGCTGCTCTCCCAAAGGATACCCATGATGTCTACTCATGGAAAAGTCAAGCAACATCTTGGTTTTCGTCTTGAATGTCCAGACTCATTAGTTGGATTTTTGCCATTTGGAATCAGGCATATGTGGTCTTGGGTTTTTGCATGGGAATTAATGTAATGCTTATAAATGAAAATGAAATCATTCAATGAACTTAAGTTAATTGCAGAAATAATAATAAAAAAAGAAGCATACTGACCTTGGAATTTTGTTGTTATTATAATTTTTTAATCTTGAGGTGATTTTCTTATTAGTTACACTAAGAGTAATTTTCAGTAAGTATAACTTGAATATAAATATTCAGTAACTATAGACTTTCAGACTAGAAGTCCAGGTAATGGATATCCAGTATTCATTCTTTCCTTTTGTCCAGTTTCCCTTCTGGTATCTACTTATCCTCCACATAATGTACTGCCTTCTTGGTAAATGACTTGATCTCCAGCTCCAGGTGTGAATGGAAAAGCCACTCAAAACCAACCATCATTCCCCTAACCACAAACATTAGTGAAGGACATATGATGTAAGCTGCTCCAATCAGGGACATTCACAGCATTCTAGGTTGGAATGCTGGGGTGGAAACATATCCTATCTCTGGATATGGAAGAAGAAGCATTTGACTTCTGTTGTACTTGCACATATCATACAAGATGACTAGAGCCAGTCTCAGGATGAAGCTGATGGAGAGATGGGAGATAACATAAGCACCAGAGCTCCTAAGTCCATTAAAATTTATTATACTTTGACCATATGTTATACCTTATAGGTTAAAATAGTTACATACCACATCAGTAGCAAGTGTGTTCAAAAGCTATTACTGTCAAGTCAACTGCAACTTCAATACTTAACTAGCAACTTTAGCAACTTTTGCCATATTTTATATGCTGTGTTTTCTGATAAATTTCATTGCAGKCATGTTAGAAGGCTAACACATTGATCCTGTTGGCATATTTTTTCCATTTTTGCTACCTTAAGTCATAGCAAAGAACACAAATTCTTGGTTGAACTTCACAAAAAGGCCCTTGGGCTCTAGAATTTTAAAACTTTTTTTTTTTTTTTAATTCTCAGAGTTTAATTCTCAGTCAAAAGTTGAGGCTGAATAGAAATAAGATGTAGTTTGACACCTTTCCCTGAGACTTCACCAGTCCATCTATCTAAAGCCCAGAAGATTGGTTACAATCACTTAGGTTTCAAGTGTAATTTAAATGCCTTAAAGATGAAGTCACGATTTGACATTATGCATGGCTGAGTTTTTCTGTGAAGGGTTTATAAGTGATTACTCAACAGGCTTTCAGTTCTCTGATAGGATCTGATTTCCCCTATCTCAAGAATAGATTATTCTCTGCCCCCTGCCTTTCTCTTTTGAAACAGAAGATTCAAAGATGCAAATAAAGGTTCATGTCAGGGATTGAATGGAGCCAATCAGGATCAGACAATTAAAAAATAAAAATATTGCTAAAATTACTATGCAGAATTACCTAAGAGAAAACGAGATAGGAGTTATGTAATTTTCTTTTGAATGGACATATGAGGAAATAGGAGGCTTCTGGGCCTAAAAGAGGATCTGGAGGAAGAAGAGCATTCTTTAGTGAGAGGGAAGATCAGGCTGAGGCAATGTGTCCATGATTGAGTGCAGTAGTCTAGGAGCTGGGCCACCTGGCTTGCATCAGGCCTGCCATYAGCTATGTGACTTTGGGCATCTCTCCCCTTCTCTGGCTCTTCAATTTTGTCAACATTTGAATATTGAGGAGGTGAGATTGGGGTCCTCTGAAGACCCTTCCATAAACAGCTGTTGGCAGTAGAGGGAAAATAAACATCAGGACAGAGGGTGGACAAAGGGAAAATTAAGTAATAACAACCTATGGTGGGTCAACGGGATTTGCAGGCAGGGGCTCCAGATGAACTAAGGTGCAGGGAAGTGACAGTAGCCCCCAAGCAAGAACAACCAGAAGGCAGTGCTTCTACTGGCCCCATTCTTTAGTCCCCGTGGCAGCTTTCTGAGAGCTCCCTGGGGCCAGTCTCCTTGTCATAGGTCAGATCTCTCCGTATCCTTTGCACAGCTGTGTTGTGGCATTTTGTTAAGCTATTGCCTGCAGAAGAATTTTACTGGAAAAATTGAGACCTTTTTCATTGTCAGGTCATTATATCTAGCTCAAGCCTTGACCTTGGTAATGCATCAGTTTTGTTCAGCTTTTTTTATATGAGAGTCCTTTGGGCGGTCATGTGACAAGAAAAACTAGATTGCATATATAATCTGCTTAAATTTGATCTTTACCTCCYATGCCTTTGGGGACAATGTCTCCCATCATAATCCTGTGACTCTGACAAGATCACAGCATGACTCCAGCCAGCAGAATCCTCCCTTGCTRTCCTACTGACCTTCCAGTCCTCTTGCATTTCTCTATGCTCAAGGTGCTGAGAAGAATTCAACAAAGTGTAATGGAGTAAAAACCTTAAAAGAGGGGCTAAGAATGTGTTCCTCGCCTTCAGAAGGAAGGTCCTAGCCTGGATCCCTGAAGTTTGGCCCTAGCTATCTGGTTTTTGTTGTTGTTGTTTGTTTGTTTGTTTGTTTCTCAAATTCCTTGCCCAGACCCAATCTTTTCAGATTTTTTTTTTTTTTTTTTTTTTTTTTTTTGGTACAGGGGACTGAACCCAGGGGTACTCCACCACTCAAACACATCCCCAGACCTTTTAATTTTAATTTTGAGACAGATAAATTCTCACTAAGTTGCTGAAGCTGACCTTAAACTTGCCATACTCCTGACTTCACCTCCTTGACTCCTTGGGGATAACAGGCACACATGCTTGGATCTTTATATTATCTTAAATTATAGAGGAGGACATTTCATGGGTGAAGAGACCCCACTCAAGCAAGTCCTTACACAACATTCCCTGTTTTCTACGTCTCACCTTTAAAAACCTGAAATCCTTTGATAAACATAAAACCCTCATGTTTCAACCTCTGAGTCTTTTAGACACTTCTTTTTCACTTTCCTATGACTTGCTAGAAAAGCACTCTCTTCGTAAGTATTCCCACTAGCCAGGCAAAAATATTTTGACAAGCTTTCAGAGGTTTTTATCACAAAATTATAGGTGTTAGGGAATTTTAAAAAATAAATTTACAGACGGCTTTTTCACACACAACACATACTCTTAATCCCAAAATATCGTGATACGACCACCCTCTTCCAAGTAACAATCATTTACTTCTAAGGAAGGGCAAAAGGATGATAAATTTCTTCCACTTGAATGGGTCTCATAGAAAATCATGTCTCAGTGGGAAAAAATGATTCATAAATATCTCTGTAGGTAGTTGAGCCACAGAATTTGTTCAAGTTTCAAATTTCCCATGGATTTGGACAGGGATTAAGGGTTCATAGAGGTTTTAGTCTAGTGAAAAGAGGGTCAATGTGGAAGAAGAAGTATGTCTTAGAATATAGGGGTTCATCTCTCTCTCTCTCTCTCTCTCACACACACACACACACACACACACACACACACACACCATCTACACACACATACCAAAAGTATAGTATTTATACTAGTTCAACAAAATGAGAGACTTCATTCTTCACTTGTCTTTCAGGGCTCTTAAATGAAAACAGCTTCCATTAGTGACCTATACGTCCGTGCAACTTTAATCTGGTCACTCTTTCTTTCTACTTCTGTTTTCCCAATTTCAATCTGAGTGTGTTGTTGTTTTTAATACTCCCTCCTGGAGATGCTACAAGTGTGGGTAGGGAGCTCCTAATTCCCCACCTTTGGCTTGGGGAGCTGTTCTATGTTTATCTGTCTTACATGCTAGAATTTCCCATAGGAAGCTACTTTGAGGGGAGAAAAAGTCAGGTTTAACAAATATTAAGAAGCATGTGATCAGATTATCTATAAAGGTCCTTCTAGATTTCTAAAGGGCCAGAAGCTCTAGAAAGCAAATGCCAAACCAATGTGTTGAAGAATGAAGGAAGAGTGTGTAATATTTCAGCCTTTTATTATTTATTCAACAAATATTTATTTATACCTGGGTTCAACAAAGCTTTACCAAGCATCTTGAAGAAGAGAACTAGTTTCTAGATTTTTTTTTTTTTTTAGTTTAGTAAAATGAGTTTGAGTGTGGGGAAGACTGTCAGTCCTAAGTGCTCCGAGATTATAATATCTAGCTAGCTATATATATATATACACACACACACATACACACACATACACATACATAAAGCAGTCATGAAAATTTCATAATTTGAAAGAAATATAAGAACAACTTTTTTATTATTCTAATTAGTATGACAGCAGAATGCATTTCAACTCACTGTACACAAATGGAGCACAGCTTTTCATTTCTCTGGTTGCACACAATGCAGAGTCACACCATTTGTGCAATCATACATGTACATAGGGTAATAATGTCCATCTCATTCCACCATCTTTCCCATCCCCATACCCGCTCCCCTCTCCTCACTCGCCTCTGCCCAATACAAAATTCCTTGAAAGCTATTTTTACATACATCAGGCCACATTGCCACAGCAACTTAGGATATCAAACTTGTTGCTGTTGATATTTTGGGCCAAATAATTCCTGCTGTGGGAGGCTGCCCTGTGGATGGTGGCATCCTTTTTGCTTCATTTACTGTGTGTCAGTGGCATCTTACCCCTTCCACTTTTAATCAACAAAATGTCTCTGCGTATTCCCAACTGTTCCCCCCAAATACACAGAGTAAAATTGCCTCTGGTTGACAACCCCAGTAGTAAGTAATTCTATATTATCTGTTATTTCCTCAAGGTAGGGACAATTCAGKTTCATTTGTATGGCTAGCTAAAAGTAAGTAATGCCTAAAAAATAGTGGTTAAATTACATATGCAAGATCTGAAGTGTTGATGCATATTCCCATCATCCTTCATKTAACAGTTTTATGTTTCTAACGATTGAAACACTTGCTCAGACAGCTAATCAACCAACATTTTCCAATTCAGTATTGCCAACAGGAACTGTTATTACACTCAAGATGTGACTTTTTCTTCAAGGAATTTAGTTAGAGTGTATAAGAGGAGTTATTGATTGTGAGGTGGAAGTATAATAAGTAACAAAAGTAATATGGAGAAAAGGTCACAAGAAGGACCATTAATAGTTATTATAGAAGTTGAACTCAGGTAGAAATATTGGACTGGAATGTTGAGTTAAGGCTTTGAAAAGTAATAGGATAGACCCATGAAG